GGAGAATAGACTACAATGCCGGCTGTTCTGACTCACAGACTGTAAGTACGTTTGTAAGTACGCAGAATTTTCCATTGACGATTAAAAACCGCATAAACACATTTCATTACACCAAATACACAAAATAATGTTCTTTTCAGCAACATCATATGACCCCTTTAAAAGAGACACCAGCAGCAGTATTATCATCTATGATACTGGCCTTCATTAGTAAACTACTTAGTAAAAAGATCCCATTAAACGCATACTTATATACCATCTTTATGTTGTTTCAACATAATTTGAAGATTCAATGTGAAATTATGACAATATAAATATATCAATATGCAGTTAATCACAATTAATCAAAGAAAAATGTGTGAATAATTAGTTAATTTTTTTAATCGATTGACAGTACCAATTATCACCTTCCATGACGCCAACTCTAGTGAACAATAGGTTAGAAAACTCCTTTCGGCCATATTATACAAGTCTACTTCAAAGTAATACAAAACCCAAAGATCAAGAAGAGAGAAAAGACAATATTAACTGATCACAGATTTTGTGACTCGTACCTTTACTGAGAGTTCTTATGCATAATAATAAACTGGAAGGAAATCTATTGTCTACTTTTGTCCCCTAGTCATTTTCTTGTCTTGAACTACCATGACTCTCTTTTTTTTCCTCTTAGTCACACTAATTAATGCTATAATCTTTAAGGTCTTGATCAACTCCAGAACTGTTTTTGGTGAGACCAAGTGAATTTAATCAAGAATAAATGGTTTATGGACAAACCTTTGGACCATTCTTCAGCGTCGCTGAGCTTCTTTCATATAATGGCTTTAAGAGAAGAGAATTATACTTGTAAGAATTACATCATCATACTTGGCAATAGTGGTTGTAAAACATTCTAACTACGGATGTAACGATATCTAAATCTCACGATACAATATTTATTGCGATATTTAAAAAGAAAAAAAAAAAGACAAGAATAGGGAAAAATGTTAAAGTACATTTAAAGTTAAATTATTCTATCAAATGCACTTTGAGAGTTCAAAATTAAGAGCTCCAACCCATTTTTCTTAACTAAGAAAACTTAAGTCTGAAAAAAAGTCTTGAATTGATTGTACCTGAACTTTAAAGGGGACTCGACCCTCTTTATATTTGTGATATACTGTCTCAGTCTAAATTACATTCACACTGGTGTTTTAGGAAGCAAACAAATTAGAATATAATAATAATACTAACAACAATGACAGCAGTAGCCATATATTGTAAAACAATTGCACTGTAAAATAAATGAAAATTTCATATTTTTGCTTTATACTGCAATAGGGTAATTACAATACTTCTTTCCTAATGTCTACACTTGAAAGAGATGTTTTGAATTTGGACTGCAGTAATCCGCTAGCTGTCAGCAATTCATACTGCACTTTAAGCTTTTATTTTGAGGGAAACGACAGTAGAGCTTTTATTTGGAAGGAAAACTCCAGCTTCAGTGAAAACTGGCTTACAAAAACGTCTCGCTACAAATCTAGTGAAACGCTGTAATCATCTGCCACATAAACAAAGCATAACTGGTGGCTGTCGCGTTCCCAAACGAGCGCTAAACTCACAGCATGAGCAATAAACGAGGCCATTCAGTGTGAACGGAGCTGTTCTGAGGCGCAGAAAACACCGGATCACAAGCTGATCGCCTCAACCATGTGTGCGCTTCCCTTTGAAACACGCAGCAAAAACAGACTTGATGAAGGGGTTAAGCCATATTGTGCTTTCGGTTTTAGTACGTTTGATAGATACTGTGCCAAAGCATAACGGCCCAAAGCAAATATATTTTAAAAACTACACTTTTATGACCTATCGTTTCATATCGTCATGTGACCACGATAATATCGAGACAGTTTTGCCATAGCAATATTGATAATATCGTTACATCCCTAATTCTAACATGTACGCGCAAACTGCATTGACAGCATAAATTGGGTCGGTTGTGTCATCCTTACTCTTGAGCCCTGGATCAGTAAGTTTAAAGGTCAGTACCTCATTTGACATCTGTCTGTCAATCTTCTGCTCAAGCCTCTGCACTGCTGCATGCAGGAACTGAAAGGTAACAAACCGCAAACAAGCCACTGAAATCATCCATCATCCCAAATCAGCTACTATTTTCATTCACGGCATTAAAGTGGAATATTATTAAGACCTCGAGTCTGATCAGACGTGCATGTGTGAAGAACTGATGCTCTTACCCTACAATGGTTCAGGACCTCGAGTAGTATATTCTGCTGATCCTCCCCGACGACAGATGTGCTCTGGTTTAGAAAAGAATTAGGACATTAATGAAGAAGGAAACTTGGTCTGTGCAACAACTGAATGGTGAACTGTGTAATTTATGCATAGAATAGATACATAGATCAACTGAGGTAACATTGACTAGTGTCAATTATTATGAGACTCAACAAACCTGTACTGGTGCATTTGGAAATACAGGAGGCTCCATGGCAGCTAAAGGGCTGATTGCTGTGTCCGGTCCAGACGTCTCTACAGGACCTCGGGCTGAATCAAACGGAGGCGCAGCTTGGTAAAATGTGTGATTCTCTGACGGGAGTCCGACATTCACGGCCTATAAGAAGAGAACGATCATGGCTGCACTGAAAATGCTTACTGAATTAACGTTGTTTATCTGATACTCAAGTGAAATTATGTTTTTTCTAATCTTTATGCTGTTCCAAACCCATACGATATATTCTTCCATGAAACACAAAAGGAGATATTTCGCAGAGTATCTGGGCTGTTCTTTTCCATACAAAGAAAGTCAGTGATGATATCTACTGCCAAGCACAAAAACTGACAAAAGAGCATTATAACAGAAGAATAAAAGTAGTCTATAGCCCTATTCACCCATTTGCCTGATGCTGATATTAAAATGGTTTGTGTGCCCTACTGAAAAATAAATATACCAAAATGTATTTGAAATACATTTATTTCATTCTAAGTATACTACAAATACATTTACATATTTATGGACTTAATACAAATACCCTGCGATGATAAATAAATAATTTGGGGTGATTTGGCTCTCCTTGATTAATTTTATTGTATTATTTTTTCGTTGGATGCCTTCCATATTAAAAGCTGCAACATGCGCTAAGAGTGCACGAATGGTAGCTCAGGAGTGTCAAAAAATGCATGAGAAGCATTGGGATACAATATATCAGCAATCACAGACATTCACATTTGGACAGCATTAGATATCCTGGACCTGGAGGATGTTAAAGATGATAAAGATCATGATCTTGTTTAAACCATTAATGCTGGGTGTAAACTAGGTTAGTGGATAATTCGGCAGCAAAAGTTATTCTAGAAAAATCAGTGGACAATAATTTTAGAAATCCAAACATTTAGTGAAAAAAACATTTTGTGGGGAACAAATAAAAGTGTTGCACTAAATATGGTAAAATGTTACACATTGCTATTTGTATTATTATAAAATCCATTCATTAAAAACATTCATGAATGTATTTATAAGTATATACTATAAAAGCTGTCGTATGGCTTCAGAAGTAACACAGAATAAGTCGCACAATCGGGAAAAAAAAATAAAAAATCTCGGATTTGGATCGGCCCTTTCTGACCGATACCCGATCCGAGAAAAATGGCACTATCGGAGCCGATACCCGATATGAATATCGGATCGGCGCATCCCTAATATTCAACATGTTGAATATTTATGATCAGAAATCCTGATGTGTGGGGGGGAACATCGCGGCACACCACACACTATAGGAGCAAAACGGTTAAATCTAGGATTTTTTGTCCTCATGTTTGTGGTCTCTCACATTTTGAAGATCTTATAAGATTTTTAAAATCTTTTAGTGTGTACCCAGCATAAAACACAGCAACTCGACCCATTACATGCAAAAAAACAATAATTTTGATTAACACCTCTGGCATGACACATACTGAGGCACCATATTTATCCTGAATAAAACATGGGTTTGAAACGGCATAAAAGTCTGTAAATCTGCACACTGCATTTGACAGACGCTTTGATCCAAACCAACTTACATTGCATTTAATGTACACATTTTATCAGTTTATGCATTACTCATGACTACTAGCGCCATGCTCTACTGTTTCAGCCATGCAATTAAAAAAAATAATAATAATAATTCCCAAGAATGTATTGATATGGGCATCTGGCCAGAGTTATTACTTATTAATTAACTGCAACACTTAAAGGATGAGATACCCTGCTTGCTGCACTACAGTCCAGACTCTGCTTGTGTCTCTGCGCAGCCAGAAAGGTCTGTCGGCTCTGTCGCCGTCCTTTTAAACACCTCCTGGAAGACTGTTTCTCAAGGGGCGCTGGATCCTCCTGGTTATCTGAGACAGAAATTTGGGAGTGATCAATTAGGAAATATATGCACTCAAATTTGTCCACATATGTGACCTTGGAGCACAAAACCAGTCTTAAGTCGCTGGGGTATATTTGTAGCAATAGTCAACAATACATTGTATGGGTCAAAATTACAGATTTTTATTTTATGCCAAAAATCATTAGGATATTAACTAAAGATCATGTTCCAACAAATTTCCTACTGTAAATACATCAATGGAAAGCTTATTTATTCAGCTTTCAGATGTGATCCAGGGTCAAATATGGACACCTAGTCTATGACTAAATTACAACACATGAAACAAATTATTTAAACAAATAAACAAACAAACAAAAAAAAGTTAAATTCTTCTATCAACTTAGAGGCGGTTAGCAAAACAACTTTTAGTGCATTCCGCCACCTACTGAGATGGAGTGTAATATAGGTTATAAATCAGGAGTAAAAAAAATAGTTTAGTTAAATTTGTGACCTTTACAAATTCTAATAATATATAGAAAGCTTGTGATGACTTAGAGGCGGTTAGCAAAACAACTTTTAGTGCATTCCGCCACCTACTGAGATGGAGTGTAATATAGGTTATAAATCAGGAGGAAAAAAATAGTTTAGTTAAATTTGTGACCTTTACAAATTCTAATAATATATAGAAAGCTTGTGATGGATCCCTTAAAAACCTGATAACATTAGTGGATCATGCTCCTAGTTATTGTGATGAACTACACACCTGTGTGAATTTGAGGAGAACTGACTTCACAGATCCACTGAAAAACCACCAAAATACCAGCCGAGTATTAAAAAATAGTTAAAGCTATCCTTACTTTACAACTTTATATTCTAGTAACGTAACTTGGTGACCAAGTTTTGAGAATTAGGGAGACAGACAGAGAGATAAAAGATGCTAAAGACTCAAACAAACCAAACCTCGCTCTCTGGTGTTTTTCCTTCTCCAGCTAGAAACACTGGACGACTCTGAGAGTTCATCTTCATCCTCTCCTTCTTCTTCTTCTTCTTCCTCACACTCCGAGGACTCGACAGGAGCGAATATACTCAGATCCATCTCGGTTTCTGGATCTTCATCTTCAAGCTTGACAACGATATACTGGCTGTCGCTGAGGCTGTTTGTCCCCTCCTCATCGCTGTTGGAGCAACTTTGAGGCTGCGAATCCGCGTCGGAATGAAGTTTAGCCTTCATATTTAATCACCACACGCACAGCTACCGAGGCTTCAGCAGAGCAGAGTCTTGTTTGAGCCTCTCTGGTGGGCTTGAGGGTTGTTTTTAAGCGGGAGACACGCTCACACGCGCGAGGAGTGCAGCTTGAGCAGGCTATGTGTGTGTCGCCGCTGCTGGAGTTAGTTCAGATGGGCGGATGGATCTTCAAATCGCGATACTCTGATTCGTTCATTCATGAGGATATATCCTCGCTTTATCATATCCATTATAAATGTTTCTTTCAAAGTAGTTTTTAAAATAATAGTTTGGCTTGGAAGTAACTGCACATCACAAGTGTCGAAATGAAATAAATGAGCTATATAGCTGTGCAGGACAGGAACTATTTCCTCTTCCGCGCAGCACTCACTCACAGTCAGAGAGCAGGAGCAGTGCTTGCCAGAAATATAGACAGACACCTTAATCATTGCACTTGTCTTCACTAAACAAAGACTAAGGTGTCTCTTACTACAGCAGGTTTTGTGTTTTTTTTTTTTTTATTTAAATAAAAATTTGGCAAATTATTAATCATGTTTCTGATTGTTGTTATGAATGAATGAAATATTTTGAGAATTTTGATTTTTTTTTTTTTTACTGCTAAATGATGACGTCTATGCATATTGGTAACAATTACTCTTTTAATCCTTAGATTTCACAAATATTTTCTATGTAATCAGTATGCAATAACAATCACAACCCAGACATTTATTCAATAGGCTACAGTGGCTAAATTAACGAAAAATAAAGCATCAACAGACACAGAACTTTCCCAACAGCACAGCAGTAATGCCTTTATGAACTTCTTTACTAAAGTATTGTAATGGACGGGGCCTTCGCCCTGTAATAAGGGAGACAATAAGGGCTTAAAAATGCTGCCTTCGGAGGACGCATTTCAGGGTAGAAACATTATAATTATTTATTGTATTATTTATAATTATAATAATTTATTATAACAATAGCCTAATATATTGAACCCACAACAATTAAAAAACAAAAACATAAAAAAAATGGCATGCCATTCATTGTATAAACATTCATAAAAGAAGTGCATTAACAAATCATCCCATTTTTTATGATTCAGTTCACAAAACTGAGTGGTGGAAATTCAGAAAAGTGAGGAAGTCCAACACAAAAGCTCACTCACAAAGCTTTATTTCTCTGTCAGGAGGTCCGGAGGTATTCAGACACTGACTGGGTTTTTGTGCGTTTGCCTTTATACACCACTACAATGGATTTAAAATAAAACAATCGAGATGTGATTGAAGTGCAGACTTTAAGCTTTAATTCAAGGGGTTGAACAAAAATGCTTTTCAGGGGATCAAATGTAATTGGACAAATAAATGTAATCATACATAAAATGTTCATTTGTAATATTGTGGCAGACTATTCCACTTTTTACCTTCAAAAACTCCTGGGTTGCTTTTGCTGTATGTTTTGGTTCATTGTCCATTTGTGCTATGAAGCGCCGCCCAATCCACTTTGCTGCATTTGTCTGAATCTGGGCAGAGAGTATATCTCTATACACTTCAGAATTAATCTTCTGCTTCTGTCTTCTGTCACATCATCAATAAACACCAGTAACCCAGTGCCACTGGAACCCATGCATGCTCCTGCATCACTCTGCTCCATGATGTTGTATGCTTTGGATCATGAGCTGTTCCAAGCCTTCTCCAGACTTTTTTATTCCAGTCATTCTGGTACAGGTTGATCTTAATTTCAGCCGTCCAAAGAATGCTTTTCCAGAAGTGGTCTGGCTTTTTTAGATGTT